TTCTGCCTTTCATCAATACCATTACTTACGATAACCGCTGCCAAAAAAGCTGACAAAATCATAGACAGCTTTGACCAAAGATTGGTTCTACCAGAAGTTCTGTTGTGTGCAATAACATGCTTATCAATGCTAGAAGTAGAGTGCTCATTGGACGTCAACTTTTGAGTACAACCTTTGTACTGCAAACACAATGAAAGTAAGCAAAAGCAACACATCAGTAGAAGATAGAAGAGTCCTTTGCAAACATGAAAAGAGGAAGATGAATCTTAACCGTTTAACAACTGCTGCATCCTAGTGTGGAGACAGAACAAGAAAGTGATGTTAATCAAGATTTTGAAGATGTACTATTCCTCATATGCATGTTATACTATAAAAGATTCATCCTTTATGTCTTTGTATTCCCTGAATCTACATACCCTGAAAGAAGGTAAAAATTTTATTCAGCAAGAGAAGATATTTGTCACCCGTATCAAAAGAGACAAAGGGTGGAAAAGAAACAAACAAAAACGAAATCACATGAAGATTTTGTGAGTTGGAAAAAGAACCAACGAAAGAGAATAAAAGAGAGAAAGAGAAATCTACAAAAAATGTGAAAGTGTGAAGAGAAAGAGATCTCTCAGAAGTAAGTAAAAGGGTTGTTAGCTGCTGAACTAAAATATTGTACAATAAAAATACATCAACTTTCACAGTACAACAAAAGTTCATGTAGGGAAAAGATACAAAAAGGAAACTTTAGTAACAGTTTGGAGCAATATGATAAAGGAGATGATGATCATGAATGAAATGAAAGGGCAGTATTTTTTTATCAAAAAATTAATGAGAACCATTTCAACTAGCATTTAGCATTGTTAAAAAAAGTTTATTTGGATAGTTAGAGATTTCATTTTTCTATTTCTTTGTTTTTTTAGTTCTTGAAATTCAGCAAACTAAATCCAGTATCTTCCAAACATCATCCTCGCTACTGCCTTACCTCTTTCAGTTTTTAATCTTAAAGTAGGACCATCCCAGAAAAGCAAATTTTGACCTTTCTATACAAATTTAAAGTGAAATTCTATAGCCAATACATAGCAATCAGCTATGAGACAGAAGGTTATAATAGTATTATGAGGTTAAACAATTCAAATATTTAGCCGAGGCCAAAGAGCCTCTCCTGAACTCCAGTGTCTGCTATATTCACATGGGATATAAATACCTCTAAGGAGATTTAATCATTTTGATTTTTAAAACTTGCTATGACATGTCTCAATTAAACAAGGTTATTAAACCAAAGAGGTGTTTGCTCCAACTAATAGACTGTTGAATATGTTCGCTCCAACTAATAGAATGTTGAATATGCGCTGTAGTATAAAACTTTACAACTAACATCAATACCATCAGAACATGTTGGGTCTATAGTGTTATACATTAAATGAATTGAGGGAACTCATTTTTGGGGAGAAGGCAGTAATTGAATAAAAGAGCCTAAGCCGTTAGTTTCAGTCCTTCCTTTTCAAAGGAACTCTCAGGAACTTGCAGTACATCCTTTAGCCATCGTACACCGGGGAAACTAAACAAATTATAGAAAATTACAAAAAGAGATAGCAGCAAGAACAGTCAGAAATCAAAATTAAAACAAAATCTAAGCAATCTGATTGGAAGCAATTTCAAAGCAATGGATATATGAGAAGAAAAACGTTGTTGTAATGCCTGAAATTTGTTATATTGAAGCAATAATTAGAAAAACTTTAATGAACAACAGTATCGCAACTAAGAATCTTCCGTGAACATTGTTCACATTTTCAAATTTTATTTAAAAAGTTTTCAGAAGTACATTCATCAGGATGAAATTACAACTAAAGTTAATTGAAAAGCGGATGATAAAATAAGAGAACTAAATTTTCCTTATGAAGAACGATATCTGAGCATAAATTAGACCTACCGCCATTGTTGTCCTCTGCGACAGCACTGTTGATGACTCATACAGTGGATGCAATACTTCGGGAACACTCCAGGGCTGGAAAAGATTATTAGCAGCATTTTGTAGAAAATTGAGAGGGAGAAGAAGAGTCTTATGTAATTAACAAATTAACACACCTCTAGATCCATATGGTCAACTATGCGAATGATTGAACCACCCCCCTCACAGGGTCGTATCAGATACCCACTTGGAAGTAGTTCTGCTCTCACAAAATTCTGCACCGGTGGCATGCTAGGACCATTCTGAGTGTTGTTCAGTCATCTCTCACATACCTAGAGTTGAAATTTGAGAAATTCATAACATAAGTTAACAAGGAAAAATGGACAGTTACCATTTCTTATTTGGTCTGTTTACAAGGAATAAAATAACTACTGACACATACCACAAGGCTACCATCTTCCATAACAGATGTATACCGCATTAACCAGAAGTCACGAGCTGGCGCCAGAGCAGTATGTGCGTAGAGCTGAAACAAGTTACAAAAGTATATTCAATGAAAAATTGTGATACACACATGAACTAAAGTAGGACCGGATATGAATTTTCTAAAAGTAACCTGCATGTATAGCAACTTAATGGTTCCATCGCTCCCAGTAGACATCACATTGAGAACATCCACCGCTCGGCAATCACGGAACCATGATGGCCGATGTTTAAGGATCCCAACAACCTTGATTAAGGAAAGCACAATTACACCTTGAATTCCAATAAAAATATTGAATTGATCAAGTTATTCAGGATGACACTTACTCTTGTAGGCTCTAGACCCACAAGGCCACAAGCACGTGAGGCTACTCCTGAGCAACTATGAGAAATAGCAGTGATTCCAATGGAATCCGGACCAGGCTGCAGTCATGAAAGAGAGATATTCTTAAAGATAACAGTCACATAATTTTGTGTGCATATATAGCTATTATGTAATTAAATACGGTACATATAAGTGTACACGTGATCAAATCCTCTAAAGTGTCAAAGGTAGAGATTTATCTTAAAAAGCAAAGCTTCTACTGATGTGATTTATTGATGCAATTGTGTAATGGGAGCTGCTAAAGCTTAGATTTTTGATGAGCCTGACAACATAAGCGGAGCAAGACGAATGAGTAAGAAATATCTTCATATTTTAACTAAAACAAAAGTGATTATGATTAATTGATGATTAAATAAAGAGGAAGAAAGCAAGAAAATTCACTGCAGACAGGATTTTTACCATGCGGCTCTTTTTGCCAAGAGATTTAAGAAATAATAATGCAAGAAAATAATGCCATGAAAGCGCAAGTCTAAAACATTTACAATTAAAGAACTGTGAATAAAGGAATCGTTAACAACACTCCAAAAACTTGATCATGACTTCTATAAATTGAAAGATAGGAAAGGGAACAAACCTTCATATCAGGCATTTGGACCCACTCCACAGCGGTTCCAGTGGCCTTCGATAGAAACTCTGTTAAAGTTTCCTCTGCTAAGGACAAAAGTCTGAAAATGTTCATATATCATTAGACATGCTATGAAAAATAATGCAAAAAAAAAAAAGGAAATTAGACTCAGAAAACGTGTACTTACCCCGCACGACTTGCATTCCTTGGTGGACGCTGAGCGGACAAGTTTTGCTGACCACTCGTCATCACAGATTCACAACTATTGTTGTCTGTGGTGGTAAGGGCTGCCTGCAATATTGAAGTATGAAAATTAGGAAAAACTAAGTCATCGGGGAAAGAAAGAGAACGAAACTATTATTGCTCGCATGTACTCTTTAAAATTGAAACATCGAGTTGTATTGACAAAATGAAAAGCCATATACAAATACAGGTTTTATTTCTCCCGCTGACATCATTGTTTTCAAGCGTTAACCATCGAACTAAATAAAATGCAAAATATTTAGAAATGCAATAAAATACATCATATGCAGATTCTTGCTTCTATAGGTAGCATTTCTAGGTTATATATTTCCAAACCAATTCTTTTCCTTGATCTTCTAAGTAATCAGAAACAGTTGCCATAAGCAAAACCCAAAACACAAACTTTAAAAAATCGAAGAAGAAGACAAGTAAGAATAGATTGCTTACAGTTTGAGTCTGTTGGCGGAAAAAGCTATTCTCATACACCAACTGTGAAACTTGCTTCTGCAGCCTATCATTTTCCTCCATCAACAGCTTATTCATTGCTATCAATTTTCTGTTCACGGCTTGAAGACGCAACGATTCTTTACGTTGCTTCTCTCTACATCTGCAATTGCACAAATACAACACGGTAATCATCTGAATAGTTCAATCCAATAAGCATGAAAGGAAAGCAAAGCAACTTTCAAAATCCAACAGGATAATTTTGCTGGGTACCTTCTATTCTGAAACCAAACTTTGATCTATTTTGGCTCGATGTTGGACAGAATTGGACACTCCCGAATCAGCTGCTGACGACGGAGTGAACTGGGCTTTGGACATTCATGATATAATCTCTCCAAAGCCTCAACCTGCTCAGGAGTGTACCTCACATATTTCCCATTGTCCATCCCCATTTTACTGTCTTTACAGGCCGATGTCACCGCCATCATCACTTCAATAAAAATCAATTTTGAGAACCAAAAAAAAAAAATCACCATCATGTGTAGAAACTGATAAATATGCTTAACTGCGTGCGTTAACTTTACTCTGCGAATTTTGAAGTAGATATTCCACAAACAAGATGGGTATTCTTGTGCTGAAATTGTATGTTCAAACTGTATGTTCAACACTATTTAGTTCAGCAGATGCTATACAGTAACATGTAAAAGATTCACAAGAAAGCCTTTTGAATTATTTCATCATAAACTATATTGTATGTAGAATGATCGTCATCACTATCTGGGTTTGGCGGCCGAATTAATATCTTAACACAATTGGAAGCTTTTGCTCTCGACAATGCAACATAAAGCTGGCCATGTGAAAACACTGGTTCTCGTAAATATATACCAATAAAATCTAATGTTTGACCTTGTGATTTATTTATAGTCATAGCAAAATACAGTTTTACTGGAAATTGTGTTCTTTTAAACTGCACTGGTGATTTTTCATCTTCTGATGACATCAATGGTTTTCTTGGAATAAAACACATGTGTGTTTTTGAAGTTGCCGCTTGCAATTTTTGCGCTTATAACATGTGTTTTAAAATCACAACATGTCAATCTTGTGCCATTGCATAAACCTTCACAAGGATTCAAATTTCGTAGTAATATAATTGGACAATTTTCTTTCAAAGTTAATCTGTAAGGAGGTAAACCAGCAGGATTTAAAGAATGCAAAAAATCTTCATACTGACTTTGATCATTCGATTCACATGTTTCATCAATTGCAACAAATGTTTTAGCTTCTTTTGGAAATTTGCTTATAAGCATATCATTTATTTCATTTACAAAATCATTTTTCGTCGTCAAAATAACACGAGAAGTTACACAAGATGTATCACGGAAGAAAGCATGCATATTAGGAAATGTTGTTTCAACTAATGCATTCAAAGCTTCCTGTTCAGTAGTATAAGGGACAATAAATGAATTTGGAATTTCAATTTTGTTTTCAGAAGTAAGAGGTTCTTTTCCATTTCCTATTCTCATCAAATATTCACAAAAGGCCGGATTAGTTTTTGCACGCATGTTTTCTGACAATTGCAATTTTTCAAGTCGGGGCCAAATGTCAGAATATAATAAACTCTCATGAATGAAATCTTCTCTTTTTCCATTTCGAACTACTGGTAGAGTTTGTCTAAAATCACCACTGTGAGCACGTGATTTTTGCCCTATATATGAATTATTCCCAAAAATTCAAATAAAATAATTTCTCTTTCATTATTTTACACTTTTGTGAATTTTGTGTTATTTTCTGTTAATTGTTTTCATTTTTGTTTGTGCATTTTTATTTCATATGAAAAATATAAAAATATATGCCTGACATTTGCATTTAGGATCTAATTTCATATTTAAGGATTATTTAGTGGTTAAGTTGTTTTTAGAACAAAATTTAAAGAAAATAACAAAAATAGTCCATTTTTGCATTTCTTAATTGTTAGTTGTTGAATTTGTCTTGAGTTTATTTTAAATAGGAATTAATTAGCTTAATTTTGGAAATAAATTAGGTTTCATTTTAGTTTTATCATTTTATAAAATCAGAAAAAATAAATAAATACAAAATACAAAAAATAATAAAATACAAAAGCAAAGTGATTAAAATACAAGAAAACAAGTAAAGGAATAAGGAAAGGAAATGGCAAGAATTGGGCCAAATTACCCAGGCCCAAACAAAAAACGCCCACCCCAAAAACCCCTCAAGACCGGACCAAAACACTGGCCCAAACTCCCTACCCGGTCCAATTGCCCCATACTCAAAACGACGTCGTTTTGACGTCGGTTAATCACGACCGTTCATCCCCTCTAATCCAATGGCCACGATTAATCCTTCAATCCAAATAAAAGTGCCTGAAATTATATCCAAAACCTTAAACATCCCTCACCCTCCTCGTACTCTCTGTAACGCCGGCGTTACCCCGCCGTCCTCCGCCCATCTCCGCCGGCC